TCCATCCACAAATAAAACGCTTGCTGCGCATCTTCTCTCTCCTCCAGTCACAGGGGAACTAAAAGTTCATGTTTTTAGAGTTTTTTCGCGAGGTATTCTTCAAGCTGCTCCGTGTCTGCCGCTTGTTATCCTCGGCTCTCTTTATGTTTTTGAGGGTGCAATGGCGGAGCTGTAAACAACAGCGGCATCCTGACCAATCACAAGCTTGCGTTGTCCGTCTCGACTGACGGCTGTTTAGAAAAGAGAGCTTGACTCCGTCCGTCCTTGCGGAGCTCTCCGGCAGGCACGCAAGGACGTTGCGTGTCTCCACACTGACGCAGACGGAGAAGCATGAATCAGGCTTAAGGCTACGTTCACACGGCAGGTCTTAAAAATCCATTCAGAATTTTTGAGTAAATTTAATGTTTTGTGTGGTTGTTCACATTATAACTGAAATACAACAGCAAACACTCTCCTGCGTTAACGTTAAAAGTACAGAAGAGAACAAGAACTCACACACTAGGAGCTCTGTGGAGTCTGAACTGAGAGGTGGAGCTGTGATCCCAAGAGCTTCACTGACAGACTTCATCCACAATTCCAGGATCACACCTGTTGTCTCCTGTTTTGAGCTGGAAACTATTTTTAAAACTAAACTATTTTACTCCTTATTCTCACAGTCGTCCCATATTAGTATTTTCCCTCACTTAAGCCGCTTTCACATCTGGGTCGGCATGGACGCGTTCGGAACCAAATGTTTTGTTCACATATGGCTCACATGTGTGTATTTTGTTCTAAGGAGACTTTTTTTTCAGACTACTTCCCTCGGAGGTCCGGCTGGTGCCGAGCAGACACTATGGACTGATTGGCAGCTGAAACTCACACCTACCGCCTCCTATTGGGGAGTTGGATCAAACACCGGGGGGTTTCCGCATATGCGATTACTTTTCATCCTGGTTGCTGTTTAGCCCACATGAAGCACTGAGCTGCTGTCTCCCTCTCTGCAGCAGAGGAGGACAGCAGTGTGTGTGTGTAGCAGCGGTTATAAGGACACGTCTGCAGCGGAGGACACTACAGCGCTGAAGTAGGAAGGATTAGAGGAGAGCAGATTATTAGAGAAGCGCAGTGTGTGTTGGTGCAGCGGTTTGATGAGGAATTATTGTTTAGCATAGGCGGACACCGCAGACTTCTTCCGCGCGTCTTTACCGCCGCCCACATGCTCGGGGATTTCCGCATTCCTGAGAAGCCCTGGGAATCACATGTGAACAAGAAACCACCCGTTCTATTCCGAACTCACGTGGCTGAGCCCCGACCATAGCAAAGCATCAAAAACCGGAACCAGAAAAACTTTTAGCGCTGAACTCACCTTCAAAATTAAATGTTAACCCTAACGTTTACAGTTGAAGCCATTACAACATGTTTGAGGTAATTTGGCCACTCCGGCTCTCTGTAGTGGTTTCCCAATTACACGAGGGAGGGAGGGGTAAACAGAACTCCGTTGGTAACCACGGTGAACAGGCTTGATGAAACATGAACGAATATCCCCAAATAATTAAAAACCATGAAGCCAAATGCAAAGTTTAGGGCAGAACATTGACCCAGAGGTTTTCTGATTGAGCAGATTTGTGAGAATACATGAAATGACCGCTTACAGACGGAGCAAGCTAGTTGCTAGCTTATGTGGCTTGACTAGTTATATCAATACAAAGTCATCTTGTTTCTCGTTTAAAATTATATTTATAATTTTAAAATATCTATATATTGCCCAGCCCTAGCTGTAGCCTATACTACACTGCTTACATTATTTCAGAATTTAATTTCACTATGTAAAAAAAAAAATACAGTCAATTGCAGAAAGCCTCTTTCTAAGATGAATAATAAAGCATCATTGGAATAATTTAATTTCAAACCACTGAATAGACCAATGCAGATGTCAAATATTTACATTTCTACACTTAACTTACCTTGACATTTCTTGATGAACTGTAGACCGAGGGATAGTCTGTTAAGGTGTTGTCGCTGGTGTTGTGCGCTGTGGCACAGTTGGTGTTTGTTGCGGGCCCTCTGCTTGTAGATGAGCATTCAGTAAATCCATAAGGTTTCTCGTAACTTCTCGGATGGAACCAGTCTAAAGAAATACAACAAAAAACACAGAAAAAGTTGTATTTGGTTATACAGCAAATGGGAAACACCTACAAATTGAAAAAAATTGTAATTGGCTTGCACATTTATTGAAATTTATCAAGTCCAAGGCCTACAAAGCACTTTACACAACAGCCACACCCTTTTCACATGCTTACGGTGGTGATAAGCCAGATAGTAGCTACAGCTGCCCTGGGGCACACTGACAGAGGCGGGCCTGCTGAACACTGGCACCACCGGTCCCTCCGACCACCAACAGCAGGCAAAGTTGGTTAAGTGTCTTGCCCAAGGACACAACAGCAGCACTCTCTGGTTGGAGCTGGGATGGAACCTGCTGTTTATCTGGCCCTGACCCACGCCTGTTCCCTGACCATGCACCAACCTGCTTCCCTGGATTACCATGAGAATTTCAGGACTAAACTTTTAATAAAGCTTTTACACATTTTCTTATTTTCTGGTGTCATTACAGGTCCTCCACCTCAGCCATTACATTCATTTTCCTCTACATCTTCTGTGGTTTAACATGCAACAGTGAATTGTGCTGCATCATGGTACCACAGACTGTGTAATACAACATTTCGCGCATTTCACAGAAAACAAATGTTAGTTCGCTTACACCAGAAATACAACCTTACTCATTGCTGAGACTTAGAAACAGAAACTGTTTTTGTTTTGTTACTGCTTATGTAACCCCAGACTCAGTATTAGTAAGTTAGGCTCATTATGTTTAAAGACCAGCGGCTAGGTTTGACAGGATTACAAAAAGAAATAATGCAAGTGCAAAATGAAATGGAAGGAGGCAGGAATTGAGCAAAAATAGAAATTGTTATTTTGTTGGGGAAATTACTACTGGATTACACTCACTTAACATAGCATTAATATTTTCAGAAACCTACCAGCAGATTGAAAGCTAGCTGACGCGCCAGTCAGGGCAGGTGTTGTGTCAAAATGTGTTTCCCTATCAAAAACGGTTTTCTCCTACGGCTTTGGTCAAAATTTTCCATCGTTCAATTATAACGAGTTCCACTTTTTAATAACATTCTCTTACTTTGATGACCCATCTTGTTCATTACAGCGCGAGAAAAACATTGGGATATATTTATGTCGATGGATGAAACACATTTTGATAGTTAGCAGTTAGATGAGGAAACAATGTTCATGGAGTAAACGCTAACGAATAACTACTGTAATGTCCAAAGAGCTAACTATTAAAAACAAAGGTGGGAATACTAAACAAAAAACATCTACACTAGGTCCAGAGCTAGCATTGGGGACGAGTGATATGTTAGGGTAAAACTCAAATCTGCTGAGGCCATTTTATGAAAGTTGTAGCTATAGTGAATAACCTAATCCACCTAGCTATGTGCCCCTGTTGCAATATTAAATGCGAGGAGTCGTAAAAAGTAGCATAACAAAACAATTTTATGGAATAAACTGCAGCTAGTAGCCTTGAAAAATAACTTACTTGAGCGTCTTGTTGGTTCTGGTCCATTTTGCTGGTGCAGGTGAAACTCTCGCTCCAGATCAGGGCGGGTATTAGCCAGGCTGTTAGTGCGCAGATGCGGCAGCCACACAGGAAAATCCACAGAGCGCAAAACGAGCGCACCCCAAAGAGGTTTGTTCCCGCCCAGTCCCACAAGTCTTTCTATTGGCTGAGCGGTTGCTAGGAGATTGTACTTCTAAGTTTTGAGCGAGAGCAGACAAGATCCGTGAGAGCAGGGGACAGACTTGTGGGAGGAGTTTTGATCCGTGTAGAGAAAAAATTGTCACATGAGAAGACAATACCAGTGTATGAAGGTTAAATCTGAGCGCAAAAACAAAGATTTGAAGGAGAACAGAGTGAATTTGAAAGAGAGCAGACATTTTGAGCGCAAGCATTACAAGTTTTGAGAGCAATAATATAAAATAGTATTCTGAAATTAAAAAGATGGTCTCTTGATATGAAATTCTGCTCTCAAATTGAAAGTTCAACTGCTCAGTTTCTGGCACTTTAATTCTTCCACGCCTCCAGAGTGCCAAAACTCCCAACAGCCGAGCGAGCAGAATCAGAAACCGAGCGCGCAGAAAGGCTGCCACACGTGCAGTGAGGCTGCCGCACCGAGCGCGCAGTGAGGCTGCCGCGCGCATGTTTTCCTCTGCCGTGTGCACGTTGGCCAACGAGCGCACGCAGGTTTGTCACTTGTGCACATCCTTGTGCGCTCACAGACACAGTTTGCTCCCTCTCAGTGTACAAATGACCTCCTCGCCATGTATATTTTCACTCATGAGGTTCTAACCTCCACGCGCGAGTCCCGTTCGCACGCGCGATGTGCACAATACGCGTGCATGGGTTTTGGCTACGCTTGCACGGGTTTTGGCGGAAACCTGACACCATAGCTCACTCACAGCTCACAAAAATGTTAGAGCTCACGCTCAAACGATCGCTGCACAGAGCGAGCCTTCATGGTGCTTCGCAGCTGATGTGACCGAGTGCGTAGGTTAATCGTTACGCTTCCGTGTCTGGTGTGTTCTGGGCGTCAGCCAGAGGAGAAAGTGGCAGCAGATTGCCAGATTGCATGGACCAGAAGTAGATGGGTGTGACTAAGGCTGCAAAATAGGGACACTTACTCATTGATTGGCAGCTCCCTCCTGTGGTTTTGCAACAACTCTAAGCTCACATGAATGATTTGTTTTGCTCTAGAGGCCAGGGGACAAACTTGAGTATAAGTATAAGTTTTAGAAGATTACCTAAACTTTATATCATCGAACAGGGTCGGAGTAGTCCAATTTAAGTATTTTAAGTATCTTTAAATATTTTAAACTATATACTCCAGCTTTAATGATAAAACTCCCCAAATAAGTTTTATGTAGCACATATTCTTGTTTCCTGTCTCAGTTATTACCATCTCCCAAAAGAAAGCAGCCATCTCACTACGGTTCTGAAGGACAGCCCAGATGAAAAGTGAAGCCCAGGAGGACTGACAGCGTCCCTTTCGATACTCAGGTTCTCCATGCAGGATCTTATTTGGACACTGTGGGAAGTAGTAAAACATTGAATAAGGACACAAGTAGGATTGTTTGCAGAACTGAAATAATACATTATTTTTTGTCTTCAAATGAATCTTTAATTACTGGAAATTAAATAATACCAGAAGAGATTTCTTCTTGGATAAGTTCCCCTCTAAGCCCAAAACATCTTGGTAGAACGGCTGACAAACATCCCCCATCAATAAATCCAGGACCTTTGAAACCTAAAAAACATTAAGAATAGGGGAAAAAAATTCTTTTTTTTTACATTAGGTTTGTATTATCTCAAAGTTCATGAAATGGGGTGTGTGACGCATCAGTTAAAAAGTCACCTCAAAAAGAGTGATCTGTCGGATTGGTTCACCTAAAAGTTTTTCTGTGTTCCCTTTGGTGAGTGACTCTTGTAAATTAGCTGCTGATGCTGATCTGGATATAGATGTTGTGGGTCCGAGCCGTAACACCAGGTAGCGCTGAAGTAGCTGGTATAGCAGCGTTCCTTCTGCTACAGAACAGTAAAGCTCCTCCAGCCGACCATAGCTCAGGTAGTCGTGGATGTTAAAGCCATTCTCAGTAAAAAGACGAACAAACTGGGGTTTGTCATTGATCAGGACATCAGTCATGGATTCTTCCAAGTCTTCATGCTGTTTAATTGGATGGAAGGGGAAATTGTTAGAGAGGATTATTCATCTAGCCTAGTGAACTAGACCAAATCCTTGCTTTGCAAAGTTTGGTCTAGGCATGCTCCATTGGAACCTCCACAGCTCCTACCAGGACTCTGGCTGGCCAATCACAGCTCTCTAGAGGGGTTTCAAACACATAAAGAGCTGTGATTGGTCCATAATTGTGGGCCAATCATAGTGCTCTATCTGCTTAGTGAACAAATCACAGAGCTTTATCCGCTTTGTGGGCCAATCAGGGCATTCTATGTGCCTGGTGGGTGGGATGATGCAACAGAGTGAAACAAGAGTATGTCACATTCATTGTCCAGTGGAATGCGGAGATCATTTGAAAGACAACGGTAGAACCTGCCCCACAACCGAGAGCCGTCAATGGATCGTGGCCAGACTAAATAAACATTTATTTAGTATGGCTTGCCAGGCTATTATTCATCTGGCACCAAAACTGCTTAAACTACTTCATCCTAACTACTTGGTCACGCAAAATCCACTTTTTGGAGCTTAGCTGTGCAGGTCTTCACACAAAACTATTGCAGACGACTAGATGGGGCTGACCTGTGTCATCACTCCCTGCTCCTCACCATCCAGATATTGTTGAATCTGGAACCGGCCCAATCTCTCCGAGTTGTGAGCAGTTGGTTTCACCTCTGCACTTTAGAAGAGGGGATTTCTTTCTGATCTAGTCTGCATTTTCGATAACGCATAAGCGATCATGCATTTTTGTCTGCGAAAGTACAGGAATTTGTTTTGTCATCCCAAAGATTTTAATTGGGAGGAATGTTGGATTTTGTCTTCAGGAGTTTGTCTGTGACTGTGATTTCACAGACTACTTGCTAGACCTATGCCAGATAATTCTTATTTAGAGGCAGTATTGCTGCCACAACAACTCCATCATCAACATACGCCGATCATAGATGAATATAACTGACTCCAAATATCACCAAAGTTATCTGGGTGAGTAAATGAACATATTGTATAGTAGAAATAAGGTCCAGGTTGCAAAAACAACTCTAGTTACTATTTAATAATGGTCATACCCCTTTTAATCAAGTTCGCACTTGCATGTGCAAAACTATGTCCTTCATAGTTGTGCACATGCTGGGATGTTTACATTTTGAATCCGTTTCTCATTTGCAGATGAAAAAGTGTCGACAACATGGTGAACATCATTGACTGAAATTTTCCAAGGGATCTAGAAAAGTACAGTTCACTGCATGCACCGTCCATGCTGGCATCGCTGTGAAGGGGACAGGAAGTACCACGGCTCTCCGGAGTTCACCAACCGGAACTAGCGTTTTCTGTCGTGCACAGGGTCTAATCAGGCCAGAAATCTGTAATGTTTTAGCCTCCTTTTCTCCATCCAAATGGTTAGGTGTGTGTGTGCGTGCGTGCGCGTGCGTGCGTGCGTGCGTGTGTGTGTGTGTGTGTGTGTGTGTGTGTGTGTGTGTGTGTGTGTGTGTGTGTGTGTGAGTGAGTGGCTCATTCTCAGATAGAAGTCTCTGAGGGGGGAGCACTCAGCAACCGCTGACTGGGACAGTTCTGCAGCCAGGCCACTGGAAAATGTCCCAATGCTCCTGATGGCCAGTTTACCGCTGGCATGCATGTTGCAGAAGCTGCTATTTATGGTCCATGATGCTTTGCTGGGGATCTAAGGTTACATTATTAAACAGGTGGAATTCACACGAGTGGAGGCGGGATTTCAACGCTCCCATTCAAATAACCCCATCTCTTGAGAATTCTAACTGAGCGAATCAGTGATGAGCAGAGTACGTCACACACTGCGACACGCGACAACGAAGATGGCACCTGAAGTGGAGTTCACTGCAGCTATTTTCTCCATCTAAATAACTTGGACACGTCTTTAAAACCACAACAAGAGGACGTGTTAAAAGCCTTTGTTCTAAAGACAGATGTTTGCGCTGCCAGACGCCATCTTTGACTTTAGCTAAAAAACTACAGCATTGCGTGATACAGTCATCATTTCCGCCTTTTTTTTTTCTGACTGGTGATCTTTGAGCTAGCTAGTCCCGCTGCTCATGGTGTTCTCTGGCTCTTAGTATCCTGACTCGTCCTCTGTGTGGAACAGACAGAAGGTCTGGCAGGCCAGGCTAGGAGATTGAGGCATCGTGGTGGAGCCTGGAAGTAAAAGTCAGAGTTAAGTCTTTGCAAAGATTTTGCAAAGCAAAGAGCAAAAACGAGAGTGGATATTGGTGTTGGGGAGTTAAAGGAGGCTAAGAAATTGTGGGCTAATGATGGCCTGAGTCAGTGCAGAGACACGCAACGCCATTCGGTGCAAGGGCTTTCCGATGTGACAGGCATGCCCAAAATTTTAAACATCCGTCAAAATTGATGGAGACCGCAAGTTAGTGATTGGTCAGGCCGCTTCCTATAAAGAACCTATCCAGTTCTCACCTTCCACTGGATGTCTCCATTAAAGAGTTCACTCTTGGCTATGTCCACCCTGTTCCATGTGACAGCTAGCTTCAGCTCTTCATTATAGGGGCTGGCATCATCTGAGGCACGCTGCTTACTTGCTAATGAAAATAAATACAAAACGTGCAAAAACCAAAATGAGGACAAAACTGTCTTGTTTTGTAAAAATGTGCAAAATCCACTTAAGCTGAAATACCGTAACTCACCTCCTACCAATGCTTTGAGCAGAACTGTGTCGAAGTCTGCTGGGCTCTCCTGCTCTCCGTGGTAGATGGTAATTAAATCTCTGTTTTGGTAAATGCTTAAGGCCTGGAGACAGAAGATGGAAGACAGAATGCATTCATGTGTTTTAGAAAGAAAAAAAACCTACTACTCAGAATGACAAAAATATGACAAAGAAAGTTGTGTCATTCCTGAGTATCTAAATGCTTTTGATGGCAAAAAAATAGGCTACAGTAGAACCGGAGTCACTGGAACATCAAGGTCCAAGGAGATGGTCTTCTAGCTTTAACCCTTTGTCCTCACGGACTCCCGTAGAAGGAAATAAGGCATCTAATATGGCGTCGCCCAGAGACTAATGTGTTATTAAGCTACAAATAAATTTTCAATGACATTTTGATGGACATTTCCAGAAATTAATGGTAAAAATTACACATTGTCTCTTTAAACAGTGATGAGTGGGTTTATTTAGCCATTTCTTACTTTCTTCGCTCTTCCTTTGTGTTTTTTTTTCATCTCAGAAGATCTGAACAGATAAAGTTAGCTGAGCTAACGGCTAACCTAGCTCAACACACCCGAGCAAAAATGTTAGCTCAGCTCAGCAGCAAAGCTAAGTTAGCTCAACACACTGGTGCAGCTAAAGGGTCCATTTGAAAGTGAGCAGATATCTTTTTCTATGACTTAACCAGCTACGTGTCAGTGAAGGATTTACTTTCAGGCAGGTTTCAAGAAACAAACAAACTCATGTACTACCTCTGAGGTTTTATTTTTATTTTTTTTCCTAATGCAAAGCAGGACCAAAGTGTGTTTAACCCAATGTTTATCTGGCCACTGATATGCCTTACTGGTTTTATGGGCTGGTCACAACAACATGTATATTTAAAGAAAAAAAAAGCCCACCAGGTAAACGCCTGGTGATATGAATAATGCCAGTCCAGCAGCGATAATTTAAATGGATCAACTAGACTGAAAGAAGAGACATTGCTCAGCTTAAGCCTTGCTGAAAAAACTAAACTGACGGTATCTACATTTTCGTTGAAGAACGTCGACTTTTTGCTTGATCCACCTAAAGAAATGCAGCCATTACTAAAGTAAAACCTCTTCAGCAGTTGGTTTAAAATGAATCCAAGATCACAGTTTCAACTGGCGTTTTAGAGTTCTGCTGCAAGAGGCTTAAACTTGAAGGGAAAAATCAATCTGATATTAAAAGAAAGGTTTACATTCATTCAGACTTAATTTTAGGCAAGGCAATTAAGGCAAGGCAGCTTTATTTGTATAGCACCTCTAAACCAGCATAAAACCAGCCAAAGTGCTTCACAGGAATTAAAACATTAAAAAACAATATGAGTCTGGTAACTCAAAGGCAGAGAGGCACTTGAGGGGTGGGACTAAGCAGGTCAAAAAGAACCAATCAGAAAAAAAGACGGAAATGCCGACTGTGCCGCGCGATGCTGTAGTTTTTTTAGCTGTAGAAATTAATGGCGTCTGGCAATGGCACAAACATCTTTTTTTTTTTTGTTGAAGAAATGGTTTTAGCACTTCTACTTGTTGTGGTTTTTAAAGACATTCAAGTCATTTAGAACAGAGGAAATGTGATTTCAATAATCATTTTGTTTAATTGTTGTTTTGGAAGGGTTTTAACAAGTTTATCCATGTCTTCACATGTGAGCACGGGTTGAATAAAACCGATTATGTGTAATCTTACTATGTGAAGCATATGTAGACTTTATGCAATAAAGTCAAACTTAAGCAGATAAAGGCAACAACAGATGGTGCAGAAATGTACAGAACATTTCCTGTTCATAAAGTCTCACACAAAGTTTGCATGTCAACTTGTTCAGAAAATAATAAGGAACATTTGCATCGGTACTACTTTCCCCTGATTTAGTTCCTCTTTCATGAAAAATGTGAAAGAAAATATTAAACATAAAAGAGGAAACAAATTTGGAAAATGGGGGGTTGCTTGGGCTTTTAATTTTAGCCAAGAGTTGAAGTTTAAAACTGCCCAAAATTAAAAGACTAAGGAACTCAACAAGTGACAAGGATAGAATCAGGAATAAGTACATCAGAGAGACAGCTCGTGGAAGATGTTTTGGAGGTTAAGTCACTGAGGCCCTACTGATGGTTTGGACGTGTCAAGAGGAGAAACAAAGGTTGCACTGGTAGAAGGATGCCTAGGAGCCACCAGGCAGGAGGCTGAGAGGACAACCAAAAAGGGGATTTATGGATGAAGTGAAATATGACACAAAGTTAGTTGGTGAGAGGGTAAGGGAGGAAGAAGATAGGACTGAATGGAGATGCCCCCTGAAGAGGAAAGCCGAAAGAGCCAGAAGAATACGTAACCTTTTTTCTAGAAAATGTAAAAACGAGTTTGTAAAAATTAAAATAAAGTAGTGGGAAATGCAATATATAAAACTGCTGTTCACTTGAGCAAAACAAAGGAAACATTTACTCATTTAGTTATGCAAATCGAAACAACATTCACCAGCACTCACTTGATCAACAAGTTTATCGGTCACCAGTTCTGTGAAAAAATATCTCTTAGCTTGCTCTGCCACCTTCTCCTTCATGTTCACACTGGGACCAGCCTCACTGTCCGACTGGAAGGTTTGGGTTGAAGACAGATTGTCCAAGAGGTCACTGAGGAAGTCTGCTGTGCCTCCTGAGCCAGCCAGCACCAGCCATGGCATGGAGTTTTTCAGACAAAAATCCATTCTCTGGCAAAATATAACAAGAAAATCAGTTATGCAAAGTGGCTTTTAAAAGAAATGTATAGCACATAGCTTATTTTTGTTATAAAAGTATACCTCTAGCACTCTTGCCTCCCCTGATATCAACACGCAAAGGACAGGAATGTCAATGCTGCCACTACCTGTTCAAAAACAAAGCATGTAACATCTTTCAAATATAAACGCTTGTCTTAAATCCACTCACTGAGATTAAGGTAAAGATACTTTTTTGATACTTTTCTCCTCGCTGTGCATTCGCCTTTTAACACCTTAATCTAACAGTCTTCATGTGACACAGTGGAATCACTATTACAAAAAAAAATCTGTATTTAAAAAAAATCTGTCTTTTGTCGATGGATGGCATGGCATATATCCAGTAGGTGCTAAATGACCAGTTTTCCATAATTAGAAGTTCAGCACAATAGGTCAAATAGGTTTTAAAAAAGCTGAAAGACTGGGACTACAAAGAACAACAATTTGCAGGAAAATGACGTCAAAGCACGGGATTGGGTGAATGATAATCATGTGACAGTTCATGTTGACAATGTGATGACGTTTATTCTAGCGTGTGAAGCTCTGCGAGCTGCAGATCAGAACGACACAGCGTCTGTGTCTGAATGAAAACGCTTTTATTTGCCCATTTTGGTTGTTTTTTGCAAAGTCAATAGCAGAAATATGCAGCGCTCTGGGACATGTTCAGTGAGTGAGATTTAAGTGTAACTCCTCCAGTTTAATATGCAAAAAGAAATTTTGGTCTATCTTATATAGTTTCAGTTCTACAAGCATTTGAACACAGATATGCAAATGGGAGCGCCGGCGCTCCCGCTGGTCTTAAAGGGTTGACACATACTGGTTCAAGAAAGTTATTTAAAAACATGAAAAAGTTGCAAACTATCTCTTTAAATGAAATGATGAATGCATGATTACTGAGCTCCATGGATGCAGATATGGATCTGTTATTTTTGAGTTTACACAAAGAAATTAATTGAAAAAAGTTTTCCACCTCATAACTGTGTGTTAAAGGAGCTCTAGACCTCAAGTTTTACACTTAAGGCTTTCTTTACTACATATTTTTCACATTTTTATTTTAAATGCTTTAACACCAGGGTTCCACAGAACCTGGCTCAATGAGTTATAGGGGGTTAAAGTGGACCTAGTTATTTCAATAACGTATCTATTGTCTCTGGTATGAATAATGTCTTGTGCGTTGTTCTCTGTGAAAAAAAATGACTTGTGCTCCTGTTTCAGAAAGTAAAAGTTAATCTGATGATTGGGGGTAGAAACAGGATTTTTAGTATAAATCGTTAAAATTAATTATATTCAAAAATCTCATTTCTGATTTGCTTTCAGAAATCGGACCTCCCACTGCTTAATTTCACTTCTGTTGTGGGTTAAAAAGGCAACATTGATGTGTTATATTTTCAAATAATACAAGCCAAGATGGGGAAACTCAAAAGTTTGGGACTAAACAGCTGTGTAGCCTTAAAGCTTGGTTTATGCTTGACGCATTCACTTTCTGCTTGGTGATGCGGCTCGCGGATGGAACGCGCTTCACAACTTGCAGCGTTTATGGTTCATGCGGCTTGTCTCTGCGGTGAGCCAATATTCTCCCAAACTGAACGGGGCAGCATGGAGCTCTACAGCATGCATCCAACACTACACCATAGTAGAAGTAAAAATTACTGTTTACAACATGGCATTCCAGCATTTCTAACAGCGTCCTCGTCTTTTCCGACAGTGCGAGCTATTTCTCTCCAAGAATTATTAACAACATTTTGATCACGGTGCTCTCTGAGAGCTGAATCATACAAATGTCTGTATTTACGAACCTCTGCCATACTAGTTCTTAACAGTCCGCCATGTTTTTCCACGTCCGACCGTCCGCGTGGTTAGGAAATTTCCTAGGTGTGCGATGCGGAAATTTTGGGCCGTGCGGAGGCGCGGTGGAGGGGCGTGGTTTTTAAAATGATGCAATTTCGCCACGCGGAGCCGTGGAGACCTCGCGGACACGTCAAGCATAAACCAACCTTAAGAAAACCACTAATCAGTGAAGCAAAGTGGTAATAAAAAAGGCTTCAGTTTGCTAGGGAGCATATCAACTGGTCTGATGAGTCCAGATTGACCCTGTTCCAGAGTGATGGTGCATCAGTGTAAGAAGAGAGGCAGATGAAGTGATGCACCCATCATGCCTAGTGCCTACAGTACAAGCCTGTGGGGGCAATGCTATGATCTGGGGTTGCTACAGTTGGTCAGGTCTAGGTTCAGCAACAGGATGTGCTCCAAGAATGAGGTCAGCTGACTACCTGAATATACTGAATTACCAGCTTATTCCATCTTCCCTGATGACATGGGCATATTCCAAGATGACAATTCTCTGATTCATCAGGCAAAAACTGTGAAAGAGTGGTTCAGGGAGCATGAGACAGTTTTCACACATGGATTGGCCACCACAGAGTCCAGACCTTAACCCCACCGAGAATCTTTGGGAAGAGCTAGAGAAGGCTTTGTGCAGCGGTCAGAGTCTATCATCATCAACGCAAGACCTTGGTGAAACATTAATAACTGATCCTAACCATTGAGTCCCTAAAATAAAGGAGTGTGATGGGTCATTCCCATCTGTACCGGGTCGGCCCGGGCCGGGTAGCCCCAGTCGGCCCCAGCCTGGCCCGGTTGATTCCACACATCCTTGTCTTAAGCCCATGTGGGCTGATTCTACCCACCAATCAGAGGCTTGCTCTAATGGAAGGTGTGAATTTGCTGTCAGCAGTGGGTGTGTTGGCCCTGGTCGGCCTGAAGCAGACCCCCTCGAAAAGAGGGCTGAGAATGAGCCTTGGTTGGCCCGGAAAAATACCAGGCCACCCAGATATGTAAACCTACGCTACCCGGCCCGGGCCGACCCGGTACAGATGGGAATGGCCCATGAGTCTGGTCCTCTTAGCCAACAGAAAGTACTTATTCCTGGTCGGAGATTACAGTTTTAGCCATTTGCTTAAACACGATTGACAGATGCTAAAACCAAAGGAACCCAACTTGAAGTTGTTGTGGCTCTGCCTTAAACAAAGTGTAACCATACCTTAGACAAAAGTGCTGCTTTGCACTTTGGTTGCAATTCTGCAAAACACTAGCTCCTTTCTACAACACACTTGCTCCTGCTCACAACACACTATTTCATACATAAGACACTTTGTTCAAAAAGTAAATCTCGCAGTACCATTGGGAAAACACAGCTATTCAGAATACAAAACACAGTCTGTCATTGAAAACAATTAGACACACACCTGAAAACAATTACTAACAAAACTGAACACCAATCAGTCAGCTACAAAAAGGCCTTAGCTAAGCCATTTTGGAGAACTTGCCAGCATGGAGGGGGGGAGAGCTAGAGGCAGAGCAAGAGGAGGACGTGGACGAAGAGGCCGTGCAAGGACCATAATTTCTGATGACATTAGGGCAACTGTGGTGGACCATGTCATAAACCATGGTCTGACCATGAGGGAAGCTGGACAGAGAGTCCACCCCAATCTTAGCCGTTTCACGGTCGCATCCATCATAAGGACATTCAGACAGGAAAACAGGTATGTCTTCAATTCCTCTACTACAGTAATGTAGCTTGAGTATTTACAGTACTGTCTCATCTTACATGTATATGTAACGTACATGTACTGTTACACCAGTACTGTACTGAAGGGTGGCTCCTTATGTTGTGACACATATAATCATGTCTTGAGATGTTTTACAGTACTGTAATACAAGTACAGTAAATACAGTAAAATACAGTTTGTATAGTAATGAAAAATAGAACAAAACGATTCCAAATACTGGTTGCATTGTTTTCTACAGAATGATCAGAAGACCTACTGGCGGTGGACGTCAACGCCTATTTACTGAACAACAAGAACTTGCATTAGTGGACATGGTCAGGGCAAATAATGCGATCCGTCTCCACCAGCTACAGAGTCACATAATTGCAGATAGACAGAGTTTTGGCAATATAAATACAGTATGCATTACCACCATTAGATGCATCTTGACAAAGCACCACATTACAATGAAACAACTGTACAGGGTTCCATTTCAAAGGAACAATGCCAGAGTGAAGGAACTTCGACGTGAATACGTACAGGTAAGTGTTTCAGTCCTCTACATTTACAATACAAAAGAGGAGCAGTCAAATAGCTGAGTCTGTACCATTGGATCAGTACCACATTGACACTGTATATTCAGAAAGCTAAACCGGCCCCTGTGTGATGAGGTGGTTCAATTCTGTATCAGTGTAGTTGTGTACTTTGAGTAATGCCATCCATACAGTACTGTACAGTACAGTAATATGTACTTTTTCTTGCAGAGAATGCTCGCCATGGATGGAGCTGCTCAGCCTCATGAGTGTATTTACATTGATGAGGCTGGATTCAATCTGACAAAAAACAGACGACGGGGGCGTAATCTTATTGGCCAAAGGGCAATTGTGCACGTCCCTGGGCAACGTGGAGGAAATATTACATTGTGTGCTGCCATTAGCCTTCAAGGGCTACTGCACCATCATGCCAAATTGGGGCCCTACAATTCACAGGAAATACTCACATTTCTTGATGGTCTACATGACATCGTCATACAGAATAGACCAGAGCAGCCCAGGTTTGTTGTTGTGTGGGATAATGTTAGTTTCCACCGGGCTGCTCTGGTCCAAGACTGGTTTACTCATCATGAAGGATTTGAAGTGGTGTACTTGCCCCCTTACTCCCCATTTTTGAATCCTATAGAGGAGTTCTTTTCAGCATGGAGATGGCGCGTATATGACCGCCAACCGCACGCCCGAATGCCACTTTTACAAGCAATGGAACAGGCCTGCGGAGATATTGAAATCAGGTCAATTCAGGGATGGATTAGACACACAAGGGGATTTTTTCCCCGATGTTTAGCCGGAGAAGATATTGCTTGCGATGTGGACGAGGTCCTGTGGCCCGACCCCGACAGATGGCAGGATCCAAACATGTAACTTCTTTTGTGTGAAGTTCAGTTTGTTTTATTTTTGCTTTACAGTAACTGAATTTCCTGTCATATGAATTTCACTACTGTAATGTAATTGCAGTAATGTTGATTTCAGTATTTTATTTTTGGAATTATGAGAAACATCTGGAATTGTAACTGAATAAATACAGTACGAGTGAAAGACTGCAGTGTTTTATTTAAAGTAGACTAGTGTGTTGCCGCAGATATGAGAGTGTATTGACATGTGGAAGTGGGCATCATTTAGTCATCAAAGTGAGGTTTTGACAAAGGATTGTTCAGTTTTGATGGCAGAGTTTGTATCTGGCATAGATGTGAATGGTTTATTTCCCAGTGTTCTTCTGTACTTCCTTGTGTGTAGAGTTTTGGCACCATGAGCCAAGTTTTGCAAAGTGTGTTCAAGCAATTGACTAAAACTGTAACTCTGCCAGGACTGCCTTTGATCATTGGTTCTGTTCATAACTTTTTCTGAACAGAATTTCTAGGTGCAGCAAAATTGTAGTGGGTACTGACTTTGGTAGAAAGTTGATCCCATTTCTAGCCTGACAAGCCATCCTATATATGTAAATAAAAGGTCTCATCATGACCCATACACAGAGCTCTGTTGTGGGGTGCAATCTAAGGCTGTCTTTCAAACAGTCTCTTCATGCTATTGGACAACGAACAACTTGACATACTCAACGTGACATGTCTGTCAATGGGGCAGTCCGCCATACACTGATGAAGAAGATGCAAATACATTCTTTTCTAAATAAAAAAAAAGTTAAGTATCTCTATCGGCTCTAGACTAAAAGAAAAGCCCAAGTCTAGATAGTCCAAAGTTGATGCCAACACTATTTCAAATAAGCTGCCACCATCTGTGTTGCTTCCACCAGAGTGTCCCAGGGAAACTGTGGCAATGGTGTAGCTCAGTCACCAGCATGTGAATGTGTGTGCATGGGTGGGTGAACGAAATGATGTGTTGTAAAGCATCATGGGGGGGGGGGGGGGGGGGGGGGGCGTGATGAACCCTAGAAAGTACTATAAAATTACAAACACTGCCCTGGGGCCCACGGACAGAAGAGAGTACCTGCAACCGGGTATAGGCCAGTCATATTTCTCTGTCACATTTGCCCCCAAAAATAAAATAAATATCTACATGTAAATCACTAATAAAGCAACAATACACTACTTTTAAATATTGGTGTATTCAGTGTATTAATATTATCTTACATTGCTACAGGATATGCTAACACAATTTTAACCCTCCTATCCTCCTTGGGGTCATTTTGACTCCATTCAGTGTTTATCACTCAAAAATTAATAATTGCCCTTTTTTTTTTTTTTTTTTTTTTTTTTTTTTTTGCTTCATGACTTTTCTTGGGATCAGGTGCAGGAATATTCCTCACCCAATATGCCTGTGCGTTGATGGGAAATGAAGTCTTCCAGTTTGGCTCTAAAGGCCATCTCTCCTCCTCTTCGGCCAAGGGTTCCATCATCCACCAGCAGGAAGGCCTGGTAGTTATTATCTAGACAGCAGGAATCCTGAGATGTCTGCACATAATATTTGGCAGGAAAGCTGCCCTGTAAATGTAAGAATCCAGATTAGTTTATCTCAGGGTTCGAGCATTGAACATGCAGCATTACCTGCACCCTGCATCTTTAAGATGAAAATACGTATTATATTTTTCTACACTTTCCTATAAAGGTGCATAATTTATTTAAACGGTGTAATCTCTGTGCAACTAAAATAGATTTAATCTGAAAACTAAAAAGAAATGTGAATGTGTAAAATTTGTTTCAACCTTAGGGTTGACAAGTTGTTCTCTGTTGTGCACCAGGCCCCATGAAGCGATGCCCAATGCCACCACCTTGTTGGAGTCTGAAGAGGCTGCAGCAGCATGATCTCTGACTGCCGCTCCAACACACCTACTGAGGCCTTCACGCAGTCCTGTTGTCAGGATCCACGCTCCTGGATGGGAAAAACTCAGGAAATTTAGGGGAAAAAATGGTGTGTGGGGCCAGTTGTGGTTTCGTTTGAAAAGGCTGCAAATACTACTCTCTTTGGCGTTGACTGGTGGATAAAATGAGATTTGCCCAACAGAGGAGCTTTGACAAATTACCCAACATGTTAGGGCACAACATACATAAATTCTGGATGTATTAAAACAATGTGAACTGCAGTCCTAACCTACTGAAACCTTTACCTGCAGTATAAATGGCAACAAGGTCTCTGTGTAGCTAAAATCATCTAACAATCTAAAAGGATAAAAAACGTTATGACCCATACAGGATCATGTCAGTACAAATGTACACTCAGGTCCTTAAATATTGGGACACTGACACATTTCTAACATTTTTGGCTCCTAACACCACCACAGTGGAATTGAAAACAAGCATGATGTGCTTCAATTTGAGGGTAGTCACATCCACAGCAGTTTGCATATGTGCCTTCTACTTGTTAAGGGACATAAAGGAATGGGCCAAATGACTTCTCAACTGCTCCATGGCCAGCTGTGTGGTATTCCCTCATTATCCAAATTACATTAAGCAGATAAAGAGTCCAGAATTCATTTCATTTGCATTTGGAATCTGTTGCTGTCAACTGCCAAGATAAGATAAGATAATGCTTATTTATGTTGGGTGAAAAACCTTTACAATGTTGAAGAATTTAACAGGGATCTGCATTTTCCCAATGAAAGCCCTTAGTGTTTTTCACATGAAAGAAGAAAATTAGAAACTAAATAATAAAACTTTCAAGAAAAAGCCAAAACAACAACATACTAGAGTTTATTTTAATTGTTTTAATTTTATTGTGTACTAAGTTCTTTTAATTCTGTTTTCTACCACCTTTACTTTTGTACTGCGCTTAGGTGTAACTTTTGTAACTGTAAAGCACTATATAAATAAAGATTGAGTTGAAAATTATAGCTTTACCTTCATAGGCTAAAACAAGCTAGTGATAGCTGTCACATATAAAATGTTGTGAAAATGGCCATAAGACAATTTTAGCAAAGTAAATAATTAAAGGTGCAATTTGTAAGAATGAAATGCTCTGGTCAAACTAGGTAACTGCGGTCCATTTTCCTAAGCAATACATCACTTTCATGGTTGTTGCCAGTTACGGATCAGCACCAGCAGGTAGTTGATAAATAAAGACGAGTCATACACAGTAAAAGTAAATAAATATATTGTTATATCTGGTGTTGGCACTCTTAGGTGTTTTATGGTAAGGAGCACTTACTACACTAATCATGGTAATATGTCTAGCAGGAAGTGCAGTTTTTTGGAGTCATGCTGTTAGTTTGCCGTTATTGACATGTTGAGGGGATGGTAGGACCCAAAATGCAGATCACCCAGACGACAAGAGGCAGGAGTTGATACAAAGTAAAAATCCTTTTATTGGCAGAATGAAACAAAATAAATCCACAAGGCAGCGAGCCAAAAATCCAAAAACCCTGGTAACTAGAACAAAAGTTCACCAGGAGAACCAGGAGGCAGAAACAGGAAACTCTGGGGATCAGGGGCTTTGGAGGAGGAGGAGGAGGAAGGGTCTCTGGAGACAGGGACTCTGGAGACACTGGCGACTGGAACACTGGGGACCCGGGAGACTGGAACTCTTGAGATGGGAACTCTTGAGTCTGGAACACTCGAGACGGGAACTCTTGAGTCTGAAACACTCGAGACGGGAACTCGAGAGATTGGAACACTCGAGACGGGGACTCAGGAGACTGGAACACTCGAGACGGGGCCGTCGACTCTGCGACAGGAGATGGGGCTGTCGACTCTGCGACAGGAGACGTCGACTCTGCGACAGGAGACGTCGACTCTGCGACAGGAGACGGGGACTTTGACTCTGGGACTGGAGGCGTAGACTCTGAGACTGGAGGTGTCGACTTCTGGCCTGGGGGCATCAACTTCTGGCCTGGGGGCGCCGGACTGGGCGGAGCCTCTAGGACTGGCTGGGCCGGGGTCGGAGCCTCTTGGACTGGCTGGACCGGGAGCAGAGCCTCTTGGACTGGCTGGACCGGGGGTGGAGCCTCTTGGACAGGCTGGACCGTAGCCTCGTGGACGGGCTGGACCGGATGCTGTGCGTCCTCCGAGACCACTGCTGGGGCAGCATGCAGTGATGGCAGATGGAGCTCAGATGTGGGTTGCAGGGCAGGGGCCTCAATAGGTGGCACAACTCTGGCTTTGGATGATTGTGGGTGATGGCGGTGACGTCTGCGATGAGCACGACTCCTCGGAGGTACGGGGGTGACGTCGGCAGGTACAGAGGACCAGTTACAGCCCACCGGAGATGAAGCGGTGGCGCTGTCAGGATCAGGTGAGGGTGTGGCGGTTTGGACATCAGATATGCTGAGACGGCACCAACATGGACAGGGGTGAATGAGATAACGTCAGTTCTGACTGTCAGAGACTGGGAGGTGGCGCTGTCAGGACCAGGCGAAGATGTGGAGGTGTGGCGCTTCGAAGATGCCAAGAGGGCAGCTCTCACAACGGCGCTTGCTGACAGATTGTGGTCCATCGAAAAGGAGGGAGCTTGTGGGCTGCTGCAAGCATCCCGCAGATCCTCTGCGAAATCCCAAAAAACCAACTCCTCTAACGGATATTGCTCGAAGTAACTGCTGGCCCATTGCAGGGCTCTTCCCCTTAGGCAGAGCACCATATAAATAATCAAGTCCATGTCCAAAACGTCCGAGCCATAAAATCTCACCAAGTCCGACAGGGGTCCGGGTCACGATAAAAGTTGTACATCCGGGTAATCCGCTGGGTCCTGGGTGGTCGGTCCATTCTGACACGTTGAGGGGACCCAAAATGCAGATCACCCAGACGACAAGAGGCAGGAGTTGATACAAAGAAAAAATCTTTTTATTGGCAGGATGAAACAAAATAAATCCACAAGGCAGCGAGCCAAAAATCCAAAAATCCAAAAACCCTGGTAACTAGAACAAAAGCTCACTTAGAGCACAAAGTCCAAAAGTCCTGGAACTCAGGACACCGTAAGCTCACTTAGAGCACCAAAAGCTGGAGACATAAAGCTCACATAGAGCACGAACAACGCTGACAACAATAATGGACCGACACAACACAGAGACAAGACAGGGCTTATATAGACTGGGAGGAGCAATTAGGGAACAGGAAGCAGGTGTGTGGAGTGAGGCTGGAGGGAAGGCGGGTTACAACAATTATCTGAATGGGGAAGAGAACAAGTGGAGGGCAGATAAACCTAAAACTAAAAAACACAAAACTAAACCTAAAGACTGAGGGAAGGACTCACACACACACACACACACACACACACACACACACACACACACACACACACACACCTACACTCACACACACATACACTGAGCTGGGGAAAGGACACTCACACACACACACGCACACTAACACACACATACACTCACACACACACATACACTGAGCTGGGGAATGACACACACACACACACACACACCGAGCTGGGGACAAAGAGGCTGGAGCTACAACTGGAGGGGTTGGGGATGACTGAATGTACACCAGACCTGAGGGGAATGATCTGAAGGGCTGCAAACAAAAGACACATAAATGAGACGCAGACAAAGTACACATGAGGGCGCTATGAGACACAAAAGGGGAATCTAGAGAGGGATGGAGAACATCAGAAGACACATGGGGAAGGATACAGACACAGACCATGACAGTTATTATAGCTGAAAGGAAGTAAAACGTCACAATTGACTCATTATTCACTTCACACACACATTTCACTGTGCTATGAGTTGCTGGTCACTGAAAAAGTAGCTTGAGATACTTTTAGAGACGAAAATTTGTTTATAATTAATTGTTAGCATTGTTAGCTCAACATTCGCCTCTAGTCTGCTTCACTTGATATTAGAGTAAAGCAAAAAGATGCCGTGGCTTCTTAGGGGTACAAGAAATAATTTCTTGGTCTCTTCTGTTTACTGCTCTTTAAAAAACTTTTTTGCCAGCTGGTGTTGAATGACAAATGCCCGCACTGCAGCGTTAGCTCGCCAGTGACATGGCAAACTCACAGGCTTACTGATTGTAAACTGTATCTCCATCCTTCTTTTGATTTTTTGAAATGAGAAAATCTGACAACCCCCAGCTGGCCAAGAATAAAATCTGTTTCGATGCAACCTTCCTTTCAATATGATTGAGAAATTTGAATGTTTTGTGATTATTTCACTGTAGAATTCTTACATATTGCTCCTTTAATATCAGTCAAACATCAACCAACATCTGTCCAAACAAAAAGGTCAGAAGAAAGACAACAATCTGAGAGTGAGTCAGCTTTCATGCTGCGCTTACCTGCTCTTTGTGAAGCTTTTACAAGCCCCTGCCTGATGACCTCACGCACCCAGGTCTTCACCTTTGACCTGCCGTCTCCTCCCACAACAGAAACCACCAGATTCGGAGGAGGGAGACGCCAATGGATAATCATCACATTGTAAACCATAGATGGCGATGTGTCCCATGACAGACGTAGAAACTGAGCCCCACAATGTCAACAGTAAATTAAGACTGTTATTGGAGATCAGGCAGCAAATAATTCATAAAATAAAACAGTAACTGTATATTAGTATTTGCTCTAACTCAACGGTAGATTGAAGATCACAAATATTAGAAAACAGCAGAAGGTTCTCCTGATAATAAGCTCTAGGGTTATTATAAAACTTAAGCCAGTTATTCACTTTTTCAAAATATATTATTGAGATCACTAGAAAGGCACTCACATGGCTGTGTCTCTTGCTGGTTCCAGTAAACTGCACCTCTCCAAAAGCATCAGTCGGGTATTCAGACGAGTGCTGGGCGCTGTCCCAGTGGTTCACTATGGCTGTGCTGAAACAGTCCCCAAGAGCCACAGAGCTGTGGTCGACTCTCCTATTTCCACACTGACACAGTCTTCCATTACTGATAGAAGTAGAGAAACAGGAGTGTGAGAGTCTGATCATCATCTTACTACCTTCCACATCTGCACAGATTCATAAAGACGAGTACCTGAAAGAATCCTCCACAAAGGTGGAGCACACTCTTTTCTTGATTGTCTTGGGGATCCAGCCCTGAAAACATTTCCAACAGATCCATAAAATGAGGTTACAGCGGGATTGATGACAAGGGACTTAACTCATTTTAAAGTTGAGTCCCACATTAGAAAATTGTTCAGAATGGTTAGTACCAAACTCAGCTGATTTATCAGTAAAAGCTGCCCAGCTGTACCTGCATGTCATGATTCTGTCTCCCACAGTGTAACTGTTTGGAGCCAAGCAACCTAATCTGTTTTAAAACCTGTCATGTGTCCAAAAGCTAATGAAGTGGCATCACTGCAAAACACAGGAGAAGTACAATCTCCTGAGTTTTGATCAATTGAAAAACTTCTCCGTTATTAAGCTGACATTCACATGTCTAAATGGCCTTGTCCCAGAGCTGGTGAGCAGACTGGTCGTAGAAGTTAGCAGCACATGAGCTACAGCCAGAGGAGTAGCTAATGGAGACTAAACCACCAAAATACAAGACATCATTTGGTCAATCCTCATTCTCATTTAGAGGACCTCAAATCTGGAACATTCTACCATCAGCAATAAAACTGTTTTAGAATTTTTAACTCTCTGGTGGAAAAAATGTCTGAAATAAAACCAAATGTGTGAACTTTGATGTACCTTAGTGTGTGTGTGTGTGTGTGTGTGTGTGTGTGTGTGTGTGTGTGTGTGTGTGTGTGTGTGTGTGTGTGTGTGTGTGTGTGTGTGTGTGTGTGTGTGTGTGTGTGTGTGTGTGTGTGTGTGTGTGTGTGTGTGTGTGTGTGTGTGTGTGTGTGTGTGTGTGGCAATGCTGTTTTATTCTAGGAGTCCAACCAGGACTAGGTCTGGATATTAGCCTCTGGATAGAAAACCTGTACACAACAATGGTTGCATGTAACATTGTCTTTTGGGTTGTCCTCATTCAATAAATCAAAACTAAACAAAACATTTTGTAGCAGGATATTTAACTTTACTGACCGCCCCCTCCTCTTAGCAACAGCTGGAAATTGAAAATGATGGGATTTATGGCACACCAATGATAACAGATCAGATCATAATGATTATAGAGGGTAGTGATCAGCTCATCAGACTGCAGTCAAGTCAGCCATAACTTGGAAAAAGTGTTCAAACCACCAACGTTTGTGCTTTCTGAAATATTGGTGTTGCACATAGAAAGTATGGTACCATTTTTTTTCCTTTTCAGGTTAAATAAAAAGGAATTAGAAACAAGTGGAAATGTTGAACAATGATAAATAGATGCTAATTCAAAAGCTACCTAATTCACAAACTACACTACATTCAGATTAAATGTTTCAGTTTTTACTGCAGATTGTTGGAGACATTTCTGTTAAAGTAACTCAATGTGAAATGCTTTTGTCTAATTTTCAGGAAATGTTTTCTGTTAGCTACTTCTGTGGACTTAGCCTAAATTACATTTACGGTATACTATTTCCAGAATAAACATTTCATTATTTCACTGTAGAAAATTGGAGACACTCCGTTAAAGTTGCTCATATTCTCATCCCAGGACAGTTTGCACATGTACATTGGACAGTTTGGGGTACTAACTCCTTTTGATTGCATTAGTATTATTTAGACAAAGCTTTGTAGTTTTTGTTGATTAGTGTTTATTCGTGGCTGAAATATAGAAATGAATCAGATGGGCTTGTTTACCTGTTAGATACCTCACAATGTTTAATGGAACAAACCACCCTTCCCAAAGACTCTGCTAAGAAATAAAAATATGGTGACATACGTAAAATGTTGCAGCGTATCATATCCTTGCAACAGCAAAAGCACTGTATTGCATGAAAAATGTGTTTCAGTTATCAATGCACAAATGAACAAGGACGCTGTGGAGCAGGCTGAAGTTGGCATGTTTATTTTTAATTGTTTGTATTAAAGGTTGAATATGGAACAATTCAATGAAAAAACTATATTTTAAAAAAATTGATCTCCATGGGGTGTTTAGAGGTGAGCAGATGAAGGTAGAGTATTTCCTTTAAAAGTTTTATGTTATTAAAAAAAATTTCAAATATTTATTCTGACGGGCACGACATTGGGTTTATGTTTACATCTACTAGTCAACAGAGGGCACCATTGCGGGTTGCCAAACAGTCCATTCAGCACAGCGAGGCTGGTACAGTGGAAAATGGCGGACTCTGCGAGTCAAGCAGCTGCATTTAAGCCCAGGGGATGTGGTTATCTTCAGAAGAAGAGCAACAGATCTAAAGCCAGAGTGAGTTTAGGTGAAGCCTACAACAGATGGACCCAAATAAAAATGTTCATGTATCGGCAGCAAACCTGGTGTCCCCACGGCCGGAAACCTAGTCCTACTGTTGCAACTACAACCTCCACACACTAGATGTCGCGTTGGTGTGATTGTTTCATATTCTACCTTTAATTTCCTTTGTCACTGAGGCAAATGTTTACTACATTTTTTAAGCAAAATTACTAAATTTGAATACATAGCTAAAGTGTGGCCAAGTCTACAATGGCAGTTTCTCTGTTGGGTGTTGCCTAAGAGATTTCTTTCATGGTTTTTATAATTGTGAAAGGCATGGCTCAGCTGGACTGACTGGATGGATGTGAAACAAAGAGGATGTGATCTTGGCCACCCAGTTCAACAGGATAGAAATGGGTGTGGCATCGTGGTAAAAAAAAAAAAAGTAAAACTCACTTTCTGTTCGTGGTTTTTACTATCACCGTCTGCTCATTTACCTGCACCTAAAGTCCAACACCTACAAATCCTGACTGACTTGGTTTTTCTAACAACCAAAACAGCTTTTAACTCATTTTAAAAGTAAAATATTATTTTACTTTTTAAATGTTTTAAAATATGTCTTTTTTTATCTATTTTATAACAACAATTTTAATGAATATAAAGATGTTTCATATGTAAAGATTGTGTTATTGGTTGGTAATTTTAATAAATGTATTTTTCTTTAAATATTACACTTTTTATATGCTGAAACTTGGGGATTAAAAGGCATTTTAATATTGAGCTATCCAGGAGGAAATTATGAGTGACAAAAATCTACAGTAAAATGATGAAACATTCATTCTGGCAAAAGTATAGAGTTTTGGCAAAAATCCAAAGGGAGTCTTGCAACACTGCTCAGGATTTGGCAGGAATCAATTTCTGACTCTGACAGAAAAACATTTGCTGGAAAGAGAATATGAGTAACTTTAACTGAATCTATCTTCAAACATCTACAATGAAATTATAAAACATTGATTGTGAATACATTTTCAGGACTACCAACTTTCACGCACTGAGCATGAGACACACACACATTTGACCCTCTTCACTAGTGACGGGACGTTCACAAACGAATCTAATCTTTCGAACGGGTTTGCAAAGTGAACGATAAGAGCCAAGTCCCTGTAGAGCCGTTCATCTTGTTTTCCAGTAACAAACCTCCTCGGAGGTCGGTAAAGCGCACCCGCTCAAACCCCACCCACCGCTGTCCCGGACATAGGAGGAACCCTAACCAACCTCGTGTGCCCTCACAGACACCACAGGAACACGTTGCCCTCATACTTCTCTGTCTGCTGGGGATTGTTCCAAAGCAATTCCTCGCCAGGACAACAGAGGGCGTAGCGCTGTTCTGTGGTATCCTGTCATGAATCCGGTCCAAGATAGTGTGTTTATGTTGTGTTTTTTGTATATAAGAGACTTTTTATAGTTTTTCTCCATTGGTTTGGCTCATTTCTTGAAACAGAAATTACATTCTCAAACCTGTAAGGTCATTTGGCAAAACACTCTTACAGTTTAGCACAACACTATAGCTCACCTGCAAAAGCTCATATCACTTCCAAAACTGTTCACTCAGGCTTCAATCTAAATCCCTTTCTCATTTAAACAGTCAGTGTCTCCAAAATGGCAAAGATCCTTCTCAATAGCTTTGGCTCATTTCTCGACACAGATCGGACATTCTCGCCATTCTTGGTGCTTTTGTCAAAATAAACCTGGATTGTTGATCACAACAACATGGTTTACCTGCAAAAGCTCATATCTCTCCTGAAACAGTTCACTCATGTGTCAAAACTACATTTCTTTCTAATCTGAATAGTCAGTGCCCCCAAAAAGCATCGTCCCTTTGGCATTGTGTAAGCACTGCCATACAAATGTTTAGATGTTTTGTCGCTATGGCAGAGGACCGACAATATACAACCGAAATGAGTAGCCTCCAAGGTTTGACATCACAGATTGCACTCACACTACCAAGGAAATTATAACCATTTTTTATTCACAAGCAAAGAAAGTTTCATACATATGTAAAAAGAGCATGTACATTACAGTAATACAGTAAATTGTGTGAACACAAAATCAAAAAACAAGGACGTATTCAGTGGTCTATCATTGTGGTCCGAATTTCATTCGGGACAGCACAGCGTCTTCCCGCTCCTCTACCTCTTCCCCATTCCTCCACCACGCATTCTCAGTCCTCTTCTTCTTCTTCTTCTTCTTCCTCCTCTTCCTTGAGGAAGAACTTCCTCTTGTCCGTTTGCTTGGCCTTGTCTATCCATGTTCAGAGATCGGACTGGCGCTGGTCAAGCTCTATATAGCTGTGTTTGGCAGCACATGATCATGGAAAACACCTGTGTGTGACACTTCTGGTTCGTTAGTCTAGTTTCATCTGACTGTCAATGACTGCCATCAATGTAGCAAATATTCAAATAAATTCATATATGGTATTGATGGTATTATGTTCTTGACCAATTCTGACAATTGAACAATTGTGCATGCGAGTACTTATACATTGAAATCATGCAGACATATTTTGGAGAGAATGATCATTAGACTGAGAATCAACTAATCAGTTCAGATCTACAAGATCTATTCATTTGGAAAATGTACTAAATGTGGGCTAACTGTGTAACTGTAGGCTACATGTACTTAATCATTTGCAAAGATGCACTGAGACAATTGTGAGATGAACTAAGGCATTTGCCATTTGATAAAATGATTTGAATGAGAAATGCCATTATGTTGTGAACATTTGCCAAGAGGTTTGGAGGTTTGTCCATGTTACGTATTT